GAGGTTTTGATGCAGTTTCAGCTTTTGTTGGTGGTGCATTTGGCTGAACGGAGTCACTGGTTTGGTTGCTCCTGCAGCTTGGATACTCTGGTTCGCCCTTTCGAAAACGAGAGCATTCGTGTTTGCTCGGTTGACGTATGTCGTTGTCATGTGCAAGATTTTGCGGAGTCCTTTCAGCTGCACTGTGTCGATCCGTTTGATCGTTGCTTGCGTGAGCTGTGCTGTGGCCAGCCCGCGCAGGAGCTTAGACCGGATTGTCGCGTCGAAAGCGAGGATTTTAAGGCGAGTGGGGCAGTCGCTGTGCAACCAGAAAGTGTTGAGCTTTTTCATCGTAGCGAGAACTTGAGAGATGCGAGCATTGACTTCTTTGGTAGTGTCGCTCTTATTATTAAGCACGCATCCAAGGTATTTGACTTCCGCTTTGACTTCCACAGGGTCCCCGTTAGCGAAATGGATGTTTGGGTGGGAATGCCCGGTGTGGATAACTTCACACTTGGTTGTGTTGAGTCGAAGGCCATACTTGGAACTTTCTTCTTCAATTGACTTTAACCGCGCGTTCATTGCTTTGGTGCTTGCGATATACAGATGGTATCATCGGCGTACAAAACAGCGTCAAAGCTCACGCCTGGCAGACGGTGCGGGCCGAGCTGGCGGTCCGCGTTTTTCTGGACATCATGGAAAAGAGCGGTCATGACCAACAAAAACAAGTATGGCGACAAAGGACAGCCTTGTCTTATACCGCACTGTTGTTCGTACCACGACGATTCCGCTCCTTCCATTTCGACCTTGAACTGCGTGACGCCGTAAATGCTCTGCACCGCTTTGATCAGCTTGGGGTGCACATTCATGCGGTCCATGGCGTTCCACAGACTCTCTCGCGTTACTTTATCAAACGCTTTTTCCAATCGAGCAAAACCATTAGCACCTGTCGGTCGGCCGCTTCGCCCATCTCGGCGAATCGTTTCACGCACTGAACGGCGTGCATAGTGCTCTTTCGCCGGCGGAAGCCGTACTGCGTGGATTGGACATATGGGTCAACGTGTTCCTCGATGCGCTTCTGAAGGATTGCAGCATGCAGCTTATATACGCTGTTGAGTAGTGAAATCGGCCTGTAGTTGTCCAGTTTGCCGGCGTCTCCCTTCTTAAAAATCAGCGCGACACGGGCTTGGGCCACGTCCGGAGGTACAGTTTCCGAGCGCCACCACTCGTTTAGCAAGTCTACAATTTTGGAGAGGTTCACATCGTCCAATTCTTTCAAGGCCTCCATTGGGACGTTGTCCGGCCCAAGGGCCTTCCGTCGTTTGCACTTCTTCAGCGCCGCTCGTGCCTCGGCCAAGGCGATATCTCCCGTATTGTAAGGCAGCATCGGTTGCGCTATCTTGGAGCGCGGCAGTGTCGACCCAGGGAGGGCATCAATTGCTGTCCATTGTTTGGTGGCCAGATGCTTGGCGGCCTCCTCTGCCATTTGGCATTTTGGTACATTTTTGCCCTGTGCTGTCTTGAAGTTGCACGGTTGTGCTGCGTGACCTTTTTTGGGCTGTCGAATGCCCATCCACACGTCCCGAGTGTCGAGGTCCTTGCTTAAAGTCTTAATTATATATTCCCGGCTGTCTCGTTTCTTGCTTTTCCGGAATTCCGTGGAGAGCAAACTATACGCGTGTAGGTCCTGATTAAGCAAGGCCAACCTGCGTTGTTCGAGTAGCTCCAGCGTGCCGGCTGATATTTTCTCCTGCGTTGGTTTGCGAGGTGCTTTCGGGAGGCTGGACAACGAGGCTCCCGCTAATGCTGCTTGGACTGTTTCCGTGGGGCTCGCGCCACTTGCTGCGGCGATTTGCCATGTTACTTGGGCATTGAATGTCTCCGCTTGGTCTTCCGTGCAAGGTAGAAACTTTGGTCGAGGCGTTTTTGCCTTCTCGGGGCCCCGCTTGAGGCGCACGCAGAACGTGGCCCGAAGCGGTCTGTGGTCCGAGTGGATATTCGCGGTTCGATCGGCTTCGCAGTCAAGGACGGCTCTTCTCCATCTGCGGCCCACGAGGATATAGTCCAATACTTCGCGCCACTGCCTGGTGTACGGGCTACTGAAAATGGCGCCAGGTCCCCTGTACGTGGCTAGTTTTTTCTGGCCGTTTTCGGAACTGTGTGTTGGTGAGAATCAGATCATTGTCAACGCAGAAACTCAGAAAAAGCTGCCTGTTGTACACAGAATCCGGGTTGCGTTGGAGAGGGTTGACGTTTTCTGGATCGAAAGTGTGCTGGCCGACTACAGTTCGCTCGGCATCATCCAATGCAATGTGTATTCTAGCATTGAAATCACCTAAAATCAATGTTGGGCCTTTGTTTTTGTATCGGTCCCAAATGCGCGAGAGATCAGCATAGAAATCGTCTTTCTCCGCTTCTGGGCGCGCGGCGGTTGGTGCGTACACGCCAATGAGTGTCAATTGTGTTGCTTGTTGTCGCAGTTCCAACGCAATGATCCGGTCCGAGACCGGGACTGCATCTTTTACGTATTTGCAATGATGTTTGCTGATTTCAAAACCAACTCCCGTCGAAAAGTGTTGTGCTTGCGTCTTGCCTTCTCCGGCGAAATACCAATGGTAATCTTTACGGGTTTCCCGCGAATTGGTGCGAGTATGGGTTTCTTGGATTGCAAGGAACGGAATTTCTTTTTGCTTCATCCATATTTCAATTTCTTCTCTCTTGCCTGCCTGTGCTAGTCCCTGGACATTTGCAGTAGCGACGTGCAATTTGCTTCCAAGAGATAGCGTTCGCGTGCGCCGCCAAAGCTCCATTGGTGGAGCGGCGGAAGGATACTGGGCCGTAGCCCGATCCTGTTGGCTTGAGAGACGTGCTGCAGAATTGGCCCCTCGTTGTCTATGTGAAATGCGTGCTATGCGTCGTTGTTCGGCGCGTGCGGCTTTTCGCTTTCGTGCGGCCGTGCTGCTTCTTATGCCGCGATTCGCATTGCGGCTGCGGCCTTGCTCATCATGGAGGGGCGTGTGGTTCCGGGGTTTTGGTCTCCGCTGGGCAGAAGCCCGCGGCCGACCCGCTGTACCACGGAAGGTGTCACATGTAACGGTACCCACCCCATGTAACTGTTGCGTGCGCGACGATTGCGTTCCAGGGTTGGGCTTCTGCCCGCCCCCGGCGGGCGTGGTGCGGACTGCGAGGGCTTCTGCCCGAGTCCGCGGTCCTTCGGGGAGTGCCGGGGCTTCTGCCCCACCCCCCGGACGGCCCAAAAGTTTGGTTTTGTGTTCGCAATCAGAAAGAATATGGCGGGGAATGGCGAGGACGAGGGGGGGGGCACAAGTGGGCTCCAGCATGGTTTCTGACACCTCGTGATCCCCTAGGATGTCCGGGGGCCCCCGTGTGTTCGTCCCTGTCCCTGCCTCTCTGGGTGCACGACGATATTGCAATAAAAGGGGAATAGAGAAGGTAGGAGGAAGGCTGCGGGGGTGACCAAAGACAGAGAGCGATTCCTTTTCGGACTGAAGTCTCCCGTGCAGCGGAAGAACGACCGAGGCGGGTGAAGACGCATCGCCGCGACCGCCGTGCCCTGCCCTGCTGTCCTGCGCCAGATTCGCCGGAGCTGCAGGGTGCCTCTGCTCAGCGACGTCAGTAGGGCGCCCCCCCTCCATTCGCGGCCCCGGATGGAGCCCAATCACCGCGACGGATCGATTAAAGAGGGGGGGAGGGAGGGCGGAGGGGGGAGGAGGGCGGGAGGGGGGAGCGATGGGGAGAGCGGGAAGAGGAAAAAGAAAAGAGGGGGCGCCGGAAGTCTGCCAGACCGGCGCGCGCCTGTCAGCGCCCGCGCGGGGGCTTGCCCGCGGCCTGCAGCGGGTGCTCCTGGGTGAGGAACTCCGCGTCGAAGAAGAAGGGGGTGTCCTTGAGCCTGTCCTGCAAGAAGGCCATGGGCGCCTTCCCGTTGAAGCCCTGGCCGTTGGCGTCGCGGACGCACACGCTCATGATGGCCTCGCTGGCGTCGAGGAGGCCCGTGACCGCGACGGCGTCCTTGACCAGGACGCTGAAGTTCGGGTTCTGGACGCTGTACGCCCAGTAGGTCTTGATGGTCGCGCGGTCGATGCCCGCCCGCTGCAGACCGGAATAGCATGCCTGGGGGACGGTGTCCACCAGCTTCTTCATCTGGCCTCCGGTGATCACCACCTTCAAGTCCGTATGCTTGGGCAGATCACGTAGCTTGTTCTGGAGATTGCGGTTCTCACTCCATATCTTGGGCTCCGCGAGAACATAGCTGCCGCCGGTCCATGCCTTCGAGAAATCATTCGGGGAGAGCTTCTTGACGATGCTCTCGGCCTCGTCGAGAAACTGCTTGATGCCACGCTCGCGCGGCCGGAGGAGCAGGACACCGGCATGCGCAGTGTCAAGTTTCTGCAATACTCCCTGCAAGCCATGCACCTGGATCTGCAGGCGCCTCGTCCTGACCTCCACCTCGTCGAGGCGGTCGATCTCCTCGCTCATGGCATCATCCGGCCCAGACGCCTTGCCCATGCCTTTTCCGTCTCCTTTGAAGTCCACTGTGGCTCCAGCGGGTCCTCCGCTTGCAAGAGCGTGACCAGCCGTGTCCAGCCGGCGGCGCGCGCTCCGTGCGAACTGCTCCGGTTCTGCCTCGCCCGCCGAGTCCATTGCCTCAATGAGGCGCTCGGGTGCGACCGGTATGGCCGACGCCTGCTCAACCACCGTGTCGAGCACCTGCCGGCGAGAAGGGAAAGCCATCAGGTCCTTCAGGAGATCTCCGGGGTACTCGGTGCCGTGTTCAGTGTGTGCCTGGCGTGCCGCCAGCATCTTGGTGAGCCACTCTTTCTTCGGCATGCTGGCCGCCATGGCTGTGGATGAGAAGGGATGCTGGAGAGAAGCGCGAAGTGGGATGGGGTGCTGTTGCAGATCGAAACCACAACAGCTAAACGATACTATATATATATATATATATACATTGGTTTTCCCAATCTCGAACAAGGTTCCCAAGGAAACCAAGCTTTCAGCAACCGTCAAAAAAAAACAATCGGCAATGAGCACTTAGATGTTGAACGCGGCCGTGAAGAGTTCCATCATATGCCCGCGGAATAATTCTGCAAGCGGAACTTCAACGGTGACTTGCTCGCCAAGTGTGATTTTGCCCCGCTTGCCGCGGGAGACAGCACACATCCACACGCCCTGCATGGAGCCAATCCGCACGCATAGCGTGGCCACAAACAACAGGTGAACGTTCGACTGCAACCATGCCGCGCTGAAATGGCTAATTTCGCGCTCCGTCCTTTCCCTGATGGCTTGCTCCTCCAACTCGTACTCCTCGTGGTAGCCGATGAGCCAGAGTACGCCCTTGTACACACTGCGAGGATGCATGTTCTCTGGTTCTTCGCTGCAGCTGTGCGAGCCGTACAAACGCTTCAAAACAGGGCCAAAACCATTGATGCGGGCGACCTTCCTCGGCTCTGCACTCACGCGCCCCAACCATCCAACCAACACTAAAACTAGCAATGACACAACGCCCAACACGATGTAAAGCCGCAGAAGCGTGCCCTGGAGACCTACGGGGCGCGTGACGGCACAGTCGGTGACGGGGGTAGCACCAAGGGGCCCTTCTCCACGCGCGCGGCCGATGACGGTGTGGGGGCCCGGCCACAACCCGAAGGCACCATGAATTCTCCTCGGAGAGATGAGCCTGGAGTAAACGTTGTAGCGCTGAAGCTTGATCCAGAATTACTTGAACAAT